ATAAAAAATACACAAACACAAAAAAAATGTAGAAATAAATTAGAAACATCGCTAGTATTATTATTCATCAAAGTAAACAAAATTAGAAACAACTAACTTTATTGCTAATGAAAAATTATGTAATACAAAATTTACAACTAACAAATACCCTAATACACAGCATTTTGGTGACTCGTGTGTGTGTGCGTTGTATTGGTGGGAAGAATGAAATTGTTATTGTTGTTGTCTTATCATTATCTAAAAGTAGCATGTGCAGTTCACATGCAGGTACATGTCTAGAGATATGATATTAAAAACAATAATGGTGAATATGGGCCACCCTTATCGTGGTCATTGATTATGGCCTAATGGAATGTAGGTGTCTTTTTGTTTAACACGGGGTCATTAGAGATGAAAAAAAAAAGTTAGTATAAGTTTAAAATTATTCCAATGAAAAAAATTAGATGGGACTCCAATATCTAAATTTTCTATTATTGCATCTTTATATCTATACATCTATGCTATATAAAGCTAGCTAATACATGTCATAAAAAGCAAATTAAGATACTATATATCACTTATGCATGCATGTGCTTTGCACGTGATAATTTTAGATGATGATAATGATAGCAATAATGTACTAAATTTTAATATAAATATGTGTTTTTTATATTTTATATTTTTATTATTAATCATATGCAGATTGCAATCCAATTTTATTTACATAAACACATTATGTAAATATGTGATAATTTGATTGAGTTGTGTAGTTTCAAGTATCATTGGCTGCCCTACCTACTTGGCTAGATTATTCTTTTTGCAAGTATTTTTTGTGTATCATTATTTTTATATCCATTTATCAAATAAATATAAGATTTAAATATAGTTAATTGAACGAGGTGAAAAGTAGTAGTTAAATTTATAATTTAAATCTCACAACTAAATAGGGACTAAATTCAAAAAATGAGTATCTTAGTCAAAAGAAAGTTTCACAATCTTATTAATGTTTTTAATAGTTGTGTAAATATAGAATTATAGATGTGTTATTTTTTTCTCTCTATATATATTCTTTGTATTTATGTGTAAAAATAATTCTCTTGTGACACACTTATTTTTTGTTTAATAATATAATTATATAATATTATACATGTGCTTTAATGTTTTTTGCAACATTTATGTTTTTTTTTTATTTTCTACATTTCATTATATTTTTAGTATTTATTTATGACATTAAATGTTAACACATTTGACCCAAAATTGAATTATTGATATTTTCCAAGTGGTAAACTAATTTCACTTTTGGTCAGTTATAAATTATATATTTCATTTTCATTATCAATAAAAGTAATTTTTGTTTATTAAACTTAAGTTTTTTTAATTTGATTAATAAAAATATCCTAAATATGTTTCATTTTTCCTACATTTTTATAATTTTATATATCTATTTATATTTTAAAATATTTATTACCTGACTATGACTTCATAAGTTTATCAAATTATTTTTGGTTAAATTGCCTAGCCACCACTTTGATAAATAATGGTTTTGTTTTGAGTCGGTTTTAAAACATACGGGTTTATATTATTAAATATTGGCACACATTTAATTAGTAACATTTATCAGTGAAAATAACTTAAATATATGATTTAATACGAGAAAGTGGGAATTAATAACCTTAAGTATATGTCTTAATGAGGGGATCAAATGAGGTGAAAAGTAATAATTGAAGTTACATTTTCATCATTTACAATTAGAGATGTAATAAACAAACAACTATGGGTATTTTAATAGCCATCAAAAGCTGATGTTGAAGTTGTAATATAATGACTTTTATACTATTTCTTAAATAAAGAATTTAGGATAACGTTAGTAACAAAAAAAAATCCACTATTCATCAATGTTTTTATACATAGTATATATATATATATAATTTATACCTGCACCCATTAATAACACATGCTCTTACACTAGTATTATATAAATGAGATACTTGACTTGGTTTTAGGGCGCATCTTAAATATTAAATCCAAATACCACATGCTATACATTGTTGATACTTGCCATGTGTATGCACTATTATAATATGTTGCAGCACACATCATTACATTATCTATATAACATGTAATAAGAAATGATTTGCTACATGTTGAAGGTGGGAAAGAACTAACAAAAAGAAAAAGGGCATGGATTAAAAATTAGGAATTGATATAGGTGTTGGAAGTTTAACAATGGATATTATATTCGAACATGATATAACAGTGAAACCGGATTTACGTAGCCAACTCCGTGTAATTGGGACAATAATTTATATTTCCAGCCTAAAGTATCTTGTGCCTTGTCCCGACTTGCAAATTTATAGGCCTAATGTGAATACGAGCCAATAGCCTTCGACATAAAAGCCTTGTTCGTTTTTTTTGAGAAGTGTGGGCAGATAATTTGGTGAGTCATACAAAAAAATATGAAAAATTGTGATTGTATTTAGGTATTTAGTGGGTCCCATGAAAAAATATTTCCGAGCAACTCATTTACTGGACAAATAATACCTTCCTGAGACGGGGTAATATTGTCCATTTAGTAACGTCACTTTATTGGATAAAAAGATCACTGTACAATTGGTTAATACACACGAACAGGTGTATAGGTGTATCAGGTGTTTTGATCGTTCATATTTTATTTTTACTTTTTATTTGTTTAAGGGGGGAAGGTTGGTTTTAGGCTTGCCTAAGCCCTTTGAAAGTGGCTACATTTTGAAATACCCCTTACTCGGGGAGCTACCGATACAACATGATATACTCAATATAGGGCATATCCTAAGGAAAATTTGAACCTTGCTTCTAATAATCTCTATATTTCCTTCATCAAAATAATGTGCCAGAAAAATGTTTATTTTTCATGTTGTAGTCTGTGTTCAATGCGTTTGTTTTATTTATTTACTTATTTTGATTTTTTGAAAGCAGCAAAATGGTAATTTAAGATGCTTAATATGAATGTTGGGTTTGGCAATTCAACATTGGCGATAGAAATAATCTAATAATGGTTTTAGGGTCTTAGATAGAGGGTTAACATTTATAGTTAGGTCTGAGTCACAAAATTTGAGCTTGGGCCTATGTTTTCTGTCCCTTCCCAATCTAGGCCAAGGCCCGACAAACTTTGTGAATTGAGAGCATGGATATATAAGATTGTAGGCCTAGAAATAGCAAATGTTTTTTTTTTTAAATCATAATTCATTTTCAATCCTATTAAGGATGTTCTATTATAACTTATAATCCGATTCGATTTGATGATTTGATTTAAATGTAGATCCGATAAAATTTATTTATAATATATTTGATTATAACATGTAATTTCAATATTTTTGGCTTATTTTATTAATAGTACATGACATTATAATAATTTGTTAATTTAATCGATTAATGCTACTCAATTCTGTTTATTATATGAATTCGATGGATAAGGTTTGTTTCAATTTTGAATATAAACAACTCAATTTTGGATCTACACCATATCCGGTCCGTTCTGATCCATTTACAGCCCGACTCAGAAAGTCAAATCCAACACAACCTTTGATCACCCTTAATTATAATTATTCTGAGTGATATGAGTCGTACATAGTATTATTTCCTGCCCCAAAACTCTGTACATCAACGTAACATCGCAGCCACAAACGGGGAATATCTCATTCTCCTGCGTAGTATAATATAGAAGAAGATATTTTTAATATGGTTTTCAAAATCGGAACAGATCGAATGGTCGGATCGGAAAAAATGGGAATCGGTCACTTTTGTTTTCTTCCAAAACTGTTTTTTTCCCCAAAAGCATTGATTTTGGCCAGTAAATCGCTGAACCGATTGGTTAATTGTTTGACTGGTTTTGACCGTTTTCCAATTTTTTTATCTTTTTATTTTTATTGTCAGAACGAGCCAATCATTCGGGTTGAACGGTCAAACCATTTGACCCGGTAACTGGACCCCTGACCAGTTCATTTTTAAAAACCATGGTTTTCAATAAATGGAGGTAGTGTGTTGTGGGTAAACGTGGACAAAGTTATTGTGGTAAAGAGAAATAATAGGGACAGAGCACAAAAAACCTTGCAGCCAAATCTGTTCCAAAGCTCAGAGTCAATCTAGCAGAGATATCATCAGTGTTCCACATACACATCTCAGCATGTATTGACAATGAATTCACATATGCTTCTCACAAACGCCCCATAGCACATCTCAACGTGCATCGAGAACATCTCCCATACTTGTTATTGGAAGATATTCCCAATATATAGTTGGGATGTACTGTAGGAGTTTGGCTTCAGTTGGTGCAAGCCTGTGCTCACATAGTTTGAACAATCTCTTTCAACTTTACATTAGGAATATCTCCCATGAAATAAAACATGTAAAGGCTTTACAGTAATTCACATATGCGCCCTCCAAACATTTCACAATATATCTCAACCATGTATTAAGAACATCACATAGAAAATTTTGGAAGATGTTCTCAATGCACACTGAAATGTACATGTGGGGCATTTATGGGGTGCACATGTGATATTGCTTTGCATTGACGGAAGCCTAGCTTATACCATGAGGCGTCGATGTAAATCCGATTTGGCCAAATCCGTGCCTACTAACACAAATACGTTCCAACGCCCTACCAATAGGATTTGATACCGTACATCTCACCATTAAACTAAGGAAGACCCATCATAAAAGTGGGACCTATTATAAATGAAATGTATAGTGTCAGATCTATTGGTAGGGTGTTGAACATGGAACGGGATCTGCTCCTTAACACAGGGCCATCTACAGGAATATCTACCGTACATTGGCAACATCTCCCGTACTTATAACTTATAATTTATCAGAGATGTTCTCAATGCATGGCACGATGTGCGTGTGAGGCCAATGTGAGGCGCCCTGTGTGAAGAATAGATCCGGTCTCGTTGAACATATCTCCCGCTTATATGCTTCATTCCACGGGGGAGATGTTTCCAAAGCAAGATTGCAAAAGGCGGTTGGAACGGTGTGGGTACAGGTTTATCCTGACGGAAGCCGATCTCACTCGAAGTCTCGAATACTCTGACAATGAGAAAGAGAGCGAGAGCGAGCGGGCGCGCGCGCGTGAGAGAGAGAGAGGAGCGGCGTCAATCCTACCAGGAGACCATCGTTCAAGGCTTCTAGCCACGGCCTGTTAATCGTCCAGATGCAGAGATAAACGAACTATGTCCTCCCACGACAGAGCCGCTGCGGCTGCGCTGGCCAACGTTGCCCTGGCCGCAGATGGTGCAGTCATTGGCCTGGTCCTAGCTTATGTAGCCGTGCAAAGCTGGCTCAAATTCAACAACACCTCTTCTGCTTTACAGAAAATCCGTGGAGCTCCAACCGTTCGTGTTGCCGATCTCCGCTCCCTTCTATCATCTTCAGACGACAACAGTATCAGAAACATCGCCAATGAATCTGGACCCACCGAGGGAAAGCTCGTCATCGTTCGCGGCCTAATCGAGGCGAAATCGGCTGTCGATGGGAACTGGAGAAGCTTGAGGCCTAATGCCTTGATATCCCATGAGTCCGGTGAGAGAGCTGTTGTGCTACAGAGAACTCAGACGGTACCACACGCTATTTTTAATTTCTCACATCAAATTTCACACTTCATCGTCGAAATTATTTCGTTTTGTCATTAGTTCATGATCATTTTTTTGTTAGTATCTACCATAGAGAAGTTCCCTTAGTTGTTCTCTTTCTCTAATTACGTGCTCATGCTGACAAAATACTGAGAATAAATGCAACGACTTGGGTCATGGGAGATTCGAAGAAATGGCAGCATCTTTACTGATTTCCACTGTTACCAGTTAACCTGAAGATTTAAGTTTCTTGTTCCTCCCCCCCACAAAGTGCAGTACCGACCACTACACGTTAACAGAACTATACAATGAGAAGAGTGAGCAATTCAATCAACTCAAGTCCAGGCAAGACCATCTGATAAGATATTGACAGGCCTTGGAATCCAGCTAAACAAGCTATTTATTCTGGATGACAAGGACCTTATCTTAATGTCATCTCTAGTACCCAAGTTCCATCCCCAGCTAATTGCATCCATCTACAATTTCAGAGTCACCATCCACTCGTACATCAACTAAACTTAAGGCAAAACAGAGCACTGTATTTCCTTGTTTCAAGGTCTGCTTGTTTCCTGTCGCTATGCTACTTTTGATTAGTTCATACCACTTCTAGTTTGTAGTTCCAATGTCCTAATTGCACGGAATAGATTGCTAAAACGATTAATATTTTCATGTTTGTCTTTTATTTGCATATTTCTTGTTTGTAATCAATTACACTTCAATCTATACATTCACTACTTTTTTTCTTGTATAGAGTTTTCTATTTTTAATTTATTATTGATTTCAGTAGGTTGATTTATGCGGAACAATGGAATGACTTTTGAAGAACCCTTCCTAATATATTATTCTTCTTTTTGATTTTGAAGTGTATATACAATGAATGGAGGGGCCTATTTGGATGGACTTCTGACTTACGCACTCTCTTTGCTCGACCACTGAAAGAACAAAAGTCTACCTCACTAAGAATGGTAACTTTCTAATGCAGTTGCAACTTATTTGGTTTTGTGCATGCACTTGTATACTCTTTTCTTAATCACTTTCATCTTCTACGGAGTGCCTTGGAAGCAAGCTAATCTTTGCCCCCCCACTATCATGCATGAAGGAAGAAATATGAATTGCTTTCTTTTGTAACAGTTTTGAGTTTAGCCATTTAGGATTAACTTGTAGTTTCAAGTCTTTTGATGTTGTTGATTTTCAAGTCCAACTTTGTCTTAGAAGTTTAACAGAAGTATGCAATTAAGCTTATTCATAATCTAATCAGTAATGATATTCATATTACTTGTTGCAACCTTTTGATTTCCAAGTATTAGAGTCTGGCCATATTGTGAGGGTGTTTGGATGCTTTACTGTTTATTCCATGCAAAAATGTCAAAATTGTTTATAGTGTTACCATTTTTTTGTCTGGATAAGTTACATAGAAACACATATGTGGTTCCTAGGGTTAGAGATAGGAACAAAAAAGTTGTAATTGTCTGGATGTAGAGATCCTCATTGTACATGTGCAGCTTGTATATTTTGATATTAATACAATTTGCCTTACATTCTTCTTTAAAAAGGAAGAAAGAGAGAAGGAAAGAAAGAACAGAAGAAAGAAAGAAAGGAAAACAAAGGCTTAAACAAGAAAGAGCTGCTGTGCTGTTGGAAAATCAAAGGCTTAAACAAGAAAGGGAAATTAGTGTGGAAAACCATACCAGCAGCTGTTTTGTGGTCAAAGAAATAACGGAATTTTTTGTAACAGAGTTAAAAGTCCAGAAGAGTTGGTGCAGAGAGCTTAGAACTCAGTCTTTGTGGAGTCTGTAACTTGAGTTGCTTCTAGGCCTTCCTTTTGGTCTGGGCATTGTTGTATCCTTTTCCTTCTTGAATAAAATTACTTTACCTTTTCAAAAAAGAAAAAAAAAGAAAGAAAGAAAAACAGCAAAAATCTCTTGACAAATGGTTACAAAATGCAAAAAAGATGATGTTGTATGGGGCTTCAGGGGCCAAGTATGGCATTTAAAGTTGGCCAAACAAGGGGTTAATTGTTTTGTGCACAATTGTAACTTGATGACAAACTGATCGGAGAGGTTGAAGTTTGCGCCTCTTCCAAGATGCTTGTATGTATGTACATTATTTGTTTCAAGCCTGATCACAACAATACAGGGTTAGCTACATTATTTGTTTCATAATTAACAAAATTCAACTTTACTTATAAAAAATGCATGGCTTTTAAAGTTCCAAGCAATTCCTTGACAGGTCAGGATGGAGGACTTGCAAATAAGCACAAGCTTCCATCGAAGCACATCTGCACCGCTCTAAGGAAATGAGCCCATATGCTGCTTGAGAATTCACAATGCAGAAAAATGTGATTGGATGCCTCCTGATGGTGCTCACAAAATGGGCAGGAAGAGTCTTCTAGAATCAAACCCTGTCTGGTTAAATTTTTCTTTGTCAAGCACTTGTCTGGACTCCAAAATTGCTAGCCACACCAGGAACTTGAACTGTGATGGAGTCACATTATGCCAAACAGCCTTGAAAAAAAGGATACTTCATCATTCTCTGCTAAGCCTCTTTAGAAGGATTTCACTGAGAACAAACCCAATTGTTGCCACTTCCAGATTCGTGAATCCTGAACTTCTAGGTTACACTGCTCAATCTGCACTAAATTTAGCAGTTCAGCAACTTGATTCATCTCCCAATTGTTGAAATTCCTTCTAAAAGAAGGAACCCATGATAGCTTCCCCCTGTTAAAAATATAAGAAGCAGTTACTGAAGCATCCTTATTGCTTGCCACTAAATACAAGGATGGAAGCAGGCCTTTGAGGGGCACACCAGAGCACCAAGGGTCTTTTCAAAAGTTCACCTTGCTCCCCACACACTGTATTTATTACCTTTCTGGAAGTGAGGAAAAGCTTTACAAATATCTTTCCATACACTACATCCATAGGAAATCTGAGGAACCTCAACATTCCAATCATTATCTTGCAAGCCATATTTCTCATTGATTAGATTCTTCCATAAGCTTTCTGCTTCGGGAGAAAATTGCCACAGACATTTCCCTAATAAAGAGATGTTGAAATTCTTGATTCTTCTAATCCCCAATCCACATGCCTAAGGCTTGCAAACCTTATCCCAGTTAACCAAATGGATGTTAGAAGAATACTTCCAGCCTGACTACAGGAAATTCCTCATTGCTTTCTCCAAATGCTCAGCAACAGCCCCCGAAATAGGGAAAAGGGATAAGTAATACGCTGGCAAGCTAGCAATAATACCACCTTTTGGATAGGTATCTAGCCTTCCAAGAGGCTAATTTCCTGTCAATCCTCTCCAACAATCACAAGTGCTTTTAGAATTACATTTATCTCCCAATAGCATCCCCAAGTATTTGGAAGGGAGGGAGCCAAAGTTACAGCCCAAATCCTTGGCCAAGTCCTCCAAACTCTCCACCTTTCCAATAGGAATCATTTCATTTTTAGCTAATTTGACTCTCATCCCAGACACCAACCACCTCAAAGAGATTTTTGCTGGTATTTTCTCGATTGCCAAAATTTGATTGTTAAGGGGACTCAAACACTATCATCAGCTGGAAGAAAGAAGGGATTTATGGACCATGGAAATTAAAACATTTAGCAAGAGAAAATCGACATTGCTGGTCCCAAGCCTGGATAAAGGAGGAGGGTTGTGTCATGTTGGCAGCCGATTTCTATACCTAACAAAAAAAGGATCCTGATTTCTAAACAGAACAGAATGGCAAAACATGATTCATGTTGCAGACCCCACATAGTTGGGGTAAGGCTTAGATGATAATGAACAAGAGAAACTAGACACCTGGCACCCACCATGGATATGTCCTCCTGGATTTTGCAGTTTGCAAATTTGCTAACTGATTCCTTAAGTAAAGGAGTCATAGAATGTGATTAGGTGATCGTACCTATTAGAACACAGCTAGTTTTGTTTTGTTTTGGATTATATCCAAGTGGGGTGTAGCATGGGGCTAGATTGATTGGAGGTGCAGATTGGGTACCTGATTTGGAGAATTTGCACAGCATCAGCTCATTCAAATTTTAAAGAAAAAGCTCATCCTGAACCCTCCTAAGTCCTAAGCTCCATATTCTTTGTGGGAAACATGCCATTTTTTTTTGTGGAAAAAGGGAAAAAAACGTCTTTACTGTCATACTTTTGTACCTATTTTTATATCATTATTAATAATAATTTACCAGTTTGATAAGAAAACCCTCACTATGTTCTACAACAGCAATTGATAATCTGGGAAGTTAACTTTAGAACTACAATAATTACAATATCTTTGCTTTTATCTTTCTTTTCTAGCACCAATCCCCAGTCAATATATCGTGGCACCCCCTCTCACAAGGTTTGGGCAATTTTTGAGGTGGGATCTCTGTATGGATGCAAACAAGAACTGATCTTTGGATTCGAAAATATTTTTTGGTGTGTTGCATACTGTAAGTTCGTTTTTGGTTTTGCAACCCTTTTTGCTCATCCCTGCACTTTTATTATTTAATGTATCCTTTGTATTCTTGATTTAGATATCCTCTTTTGTGTAATAAACTATTGAATAAACCCCTATGCTGTCACTCTAATCTGGAAAGAAGACCTACACTCCCTCCCCTATCACTTCCTTGAAAAAATTTACAATTTGTGTCAGAGGCCTCACAGTTGCAGTAAGGAATTTCATACCTAGTACTTTGTGAACTTAAAACCAGTTCCTTTGTTATGTGATTTTTTAAGGAAATGCTTGTGATGGCCTGATGGGCTTTGTTCATTTTACAGGTTCCTTTTATTCTTGTTGAAGGTGGTCAGTGGCCACATTCTGATTATGTAGTTGTGAATTTGGATGGCTCTAGGCATCCTCTACCTCTAGTAACAGTTTATCATCAATTACAGCCAGTCCAAGCTTCACCATATACATTTCTCCAGGCACTTTTTGGCCATCATTATCCTGTGAGTTTTAAACAGAATCTTTGTTTTTTGCTCGAATAATGGTCTCTAGTTTATTAAGAAAGGTTGAATTTGTTTAGATGCTATCTTTTCTATGCTTCGGAGGTTGTATACTCATTTTAATTACTTTATTTGTCCTTGGTTTGTTCTGTTTGAAAAGGTTGGTCTTCTTGATGAGGAGAAAATCCTTCCATTAGGAAAGGAGATCACTGCAGTTGGCATTTGCAGATTTCAAGATGGAAATCCCGAGATTAAGTCCTGCAAGGATCTTCCCTATTTCTTGTAAGGAGGTCTCTTTATGAAAGCATTGCTAGGATCTGTTGCTTGGAAACAAAAATGTCATGTAGTAATTTATCTTCCAAGTATTGTAGAACACATGACCATACTTACATAATAGGATATTAGAGTAAATGGCTAGATTCAACCATCCTGATTTCTACTGGGTATTATCTGGTAGGACAGAGGACTTCCTGGCAGGCAATGCATAAGGTGTCTTATTGTGTCTTTTATCAGATTGCTTTCTAGCATTCCTCATAGGGTACATGGATAAAAAATAAGTGACTTGGATAATTGTTAGCATATTATCTGTCACTATCTTCTGTACATTTAATTTGATTATTGGTAAGAAATTCCATTAATTGGGTGGAATCCATTTATTTTACTGTGTCTGTGTTGACTTACTGTTGGAGAAAATTTCTGGTATTTACTTTTTTCCTTTATGTTTGTGGCTCTAGTGGAATAATGGGTTCCCTGGCTTATTTTGCAGGTCAGACATGACCAAAGATCAAATAGTAGTAGATCTTGGCTTTAGGACAAAAGTTCTGTTGTGGGGTGGCATTCTTCTTGTCTCACTGTCATTTGGTATATTAGGCTATGCTATCATGAGGTACTGTAGCATACAAGTGTTGGAGCAACTGGTTACTCAAGATATTGCTTATGCCTTTTTTTTTGATTATTATGGTTTTGCTTATGTTGATGAAATGGAACCAAGAATTTAAGCTCATACAGGGATATAAGAGTAAATTAGGTGATTTTACATTGTTTTATTATTATGTAAGATGTCATGTTGGGGAGAATGGGGCATGATGGAATAACTTGATTGAAGATTCCTAGGGTACAATCAATATTCCAAAAGGCATATAAGGTATATGTCTTGGGGCAAGGAGAAAATGCCTTGACTCTCAACTTTGAGGCACATTCCGAGAGGTATAAATAACACACTTGCATCACACTTTGGGGCACCTTATGTCAAGAGCATGTATTTTAAACTGAAGTAACGTTCTCAGTTCAAGAATGAATTCAGACCAGTTGTAAGATTTTGGGGCATGTATCTTTTATACAAACTTTTAGGTTTTCAAACCTATTTGATGTTTTCATACATGTTAAGATTTTTTTTTACCAAATAAAAAAGAAAGAGCTTTCTGATTGTCTAGATGGATTCATAAGATGGTTCTTGCTACTTAGCTATGATTATGATACCAAGATATCTGTACATGCCAGGCATGCTAGTGTTGAACATGATATGTACTCAATATGACACATGAGACTGCATGAACAGTTATAGAATGCACTTTTTAGTATTTAATACTTTAACGATATCTACTGATAAACAATCTTTAACAATATGTAGAATGGCATGCTTTAACAAATGATAAATGTAAATAAAAAACTGTGTTAAGTTTAATTAAATTTGGCAAGATGAGGTATTCAGCAATGACAGTAGCTTCAAAAAAAAAAAAAAAATAAATATACTGTCTTTTTACTTTTCATGAACACTTAGGGGGTGTTCACCAAAGTATATGATTTTGTTTTTCAAAACAAAACAACTGCCACACCAGAAAAAAATATATTGATTTTGCTGGCATGGCAATTATTTTTGTTTTGGAAAACAAACCAATCATGTTGCCCAACACCCCCTTAATGTACTGCTGCTTTTGTACAGAATCTCATTGTACTGGGACTTTTTGTACAGCTTTGATCATTAATACAATGCCTTACTTAACCTTCTCCTCCCCCTAAAAAGAGAAAAAACTAAATATAATTAGCATGCTATAAACATGCCAAATGTGATATTGGTATCCCATATGTGGGCAGATACTTGCGTTGGCCTCATGTCCAGACCATACTTTATTTCGTTTATTTTCCCCTGAACTATGTATCCGTGCTTCTCTTATACATGCAGATGCTTCATGTGCCATTCAACTAGTCTTAAGTATCAGTCTTTTTTCCCCCGAAGTTCTAAACCTTCTTTCATTTTACTTCATGCCTTTTCTTAAAATAATGAGATCTCATGAGGCTTAAGCCTCATGCAATTGAAGATCCTAGCACCTGCCTCATTCTTCTAATTTTCAAACATTGGGTATAACTTACGTTGTCACATTGTAAAAGAAAAAAAAGGTGATGGAATAGAAACCCTAGCTAGCAACAAAATCAAGCTGAACTTTGATGGGAGTTCTATAGGAAACCCGGAAGTAGCAGGCTTTGGTGGTGTTTTTAGAGATATGGGTGGGAGATTCTCTAAGGGCCAAGCTGTTGGTACTGCTACAAGGTCTAAAACTTGCTAAGAAATTTAACCTTCAGAACTTGGAGGTTGAAGGGGATTCAAAATTGGTTCTCTTGGATTACTTCAGGGTGTAATGTTGTTAAGGGCCCGCGAATAGGATCTCGTCACGGGTCGGTCCACGGGGAAAACCTCCTGTTTTCCCTTGTTCCTCCCTTTCCTTGAAGAACCTAT